CCCCCGCCGAACCCCCCGTCCCCCGCCGGACCGCACGTCCACCCACCGAACAGCACGTCCACGCAGGGCTCCGAGCCGTCGTGCCGCACGTCCGCGATCACCGTGCAGTTGAGGTTGGTAGCGCGGACCCTCTCGCTGCTGACCGCCTGGAGGAAGACCCTGCGGCCCGGGAGGCGCTGCGTGAGCGGAGGTCGGGGTTCGCCCCGCCCCGCGAGCCCCGCTCCCGCCAGGTCATCGTCCCCGCCCACCTCGTGGCCTCCACGTTCTCCTCGAATGGGCAGAACTGAACACGAATCTCCTTCACCGGCCGGAGCCCGATGCGCGCCAAGGCCGCCGCCATTGCAACCTCCGCCCCGGAAGCGACTGGCGCGCCGGAAGTCCCGCCCGAGGGGGCGGAAGGGAGACTCACCAGCCCTCCAGTATCAACCAGAGGGGGCGCTGTGGTCCGCGTGTCAAAAACACAAAAATCATGAAAATTGGTGCAAAACTTCTTTGCACTTGGCTCCGAAACACGCTGGTCGTCCGCGGCCTGTCCCTTCGGGGTCCCGGTGCCCCCGGTGGAAGGTCACTCGGACAGCTGGGATCCGGTGCCCACCGGGGCTGACCGCACGGAGGTCAGCGCTTACACGGTGAGGCGAGGACCCCGCAGTAAACTGCACGGGAGAGACGTCTCTGCAGGACCTCCCGGTCCACTGGACTCCAGGACGGAAACGTCCTGGAACCGAGGACCCTGCAGTAAAACTGCACGGGGAGAGACGTCTCTGCAGGACCTCCCGGTCCACTGGACGGAACCGAGGACCCCGCATTAAACTGCACGGGAGCAGCCGATGGATTCGAACAGCAGGCCCCGAGACTGCGTGCAGCTTATTAAAGCACTAGGCCATCAGAGGGGGGACAGGGAGAGACAACAGGTGGCCACTTGCAGCGCTGTGCAGCCGGTCCCTGTCCCTGAATCTAGGACTAACCCGCTGGAGCCCCTGGCTTCCTTGCCGCAGTCTGGCCCTTTGCTATGGTCGCCAGGTTTCGGTGTCAGCTCGTATTCTCAGCTGGTGGGTCCAGGCCCTGCACCTCCTTTCTCACGTGTGACTCTGGATTCTGGGCTCACAGTCCCGATTCTCCCCACCTCCTTCCTCAGGTGTGACCGTGGATTCTGGGCTCACGGTTCCAATTCTCCCACCTCCTCCCTCAGGGGTGCCTTTCTGAGCCCTGGCCCCAGTCCTGTTACACAGTTCTACATTCCCAAGCTGCTTCAGATGATGCTGGGGCTCCTGACTTCCTGGCCCGCTGCTCCTTACTGGTCAGGACTGGTCCTCAGGCAGGAAAGGAAACGTAGGTGCCAGTGAGAGTGCTGGTGCTGCCTCAGGGCCAGCCAGGCTTGCTGGTTCCCCACCAGGTAGGCCTCGGGGCTGGGGCCTGCCCCCCACAGCGCGCTGAGCGACGATTGCACAGCCTGGCCGGGGGCTGCGCTGGGCCTCTGTGGGGGCTCCAGGCTCTCCAGGCTGTAGAGGCTGTTGCTGGGCAGTTCCAAGGTCTGCACGTCGTGACACGCACCTGGTGAAGGGGCCGCCAAGGAAAGCAGGGTGAGGCCATGCTGCAGAAAGAGCAGTGGTCAGGCGGGGACAGAAGGGTGAGGGGTCAGGAGCCGGGCTCTGGGGACAGGACTGGGGTACTCACAGCAGCACGGAGGCCTCCTGCGGCCTGGTGGGGGGGGCAGGGGCTGCTGCAGGAGACACAGCAGGGCCCCGTCCAGCTGCTGGAAGATGCTGAGCGTGAGCAGAGACTGGCGGAGGTCAGCGGGCAGGCCCCACTGGTCCTCTTCCAGCAGTGCCCGCACCACTGCGAAGTCCTGTCGGAGCTGCAGCGCTCCCTGCAGACTGAGGCACAGGACAGTGTCACCACCCACCCTCCTCTCTCTGCCAACCACACGCCTCCCTGCACCCCAACCCACCTGAACCGGATCCTGTGGGCGAGGATGTGGTCCAGCCAGGCGCCCAGGACAGCAGTCAGCGCCTGACCCAAGGCAGGTACTTGGGCCCTGGGGGGCAGGCCCTGAAGCCCATGCAGCACCGGCTCCAGCACCGAGCGGACCACCAGCCCGGCATACCCACTGGGGACGCTCGGCAGCTCTGCAATGAGAGAAGGGAAGAGGTAGGGGGTACACAGGACCCCAAAAGGGGACAAAGAGGAGGAGATGGCCAGGGTAGGGTGTGCCCACTGAAGGAGAGGAAAAGCCAGCCCATGGAGGGACAGGGCACGCCGATGAGTTAGTTACCAGGGCAGAGATGAGGCCGCCAGTACCGACCGAGTGGCATGTACAGCTCAAATCCCTGAGAGGCTTGTTTGTGACATTCTTGAGAAAAACTGCTGAGCGACTCTTCAGGCAAGAGCTGTGGGGCAGGGAGAAAAGAAAAAGGGGGTTATTATGAGGAGGGAGCTCTGGGAGCCTAGGCCACAGGGAGTTATGCTGCAAACCCAAAGACCACGGCTCTCTGGTGGTTTGAATCCACCAGGGATTCTGAGCTCTAGAAAGATGGGAAATCTCCTGTGAGATTTACAGCCTCAGAAACCCCATGGAGGACCAGCTATGAACGGTTCCGACTGGACGGCAGAGCTTGGGGGGTTTTTTGTAAAGGATTATTTCACTGTAATAATTTATAGACTTTTGGGTCACACTCTGTCATATGTTTGTTTTTAAATTGTGGTCTGGGAAGAGATTGCAGAGCAAATGAGTACCCTATCCAACAATTTATACATATTTTCTTTGGAGACAGGAGTTGCAAACAGATCTTGAGTTTTGAATATTATTAGGGCCTTGTCAAATTGTGAAACCTTTCTAAATCTGTGATATTTAACTTACAACCCAGAACTGAGGGCTATGTAACTCTGTGGTCCTACATCTTTTTAAAGGAGAGGTGCCAGTCTTCCAATGGTTGTGGACTGAGAAAAGACCATGAACGATGATCTCACGGTGACCCTGCCCCCACAGCTCAGTTCAGAAGGTAGGCAGGTCAGTCCCTACTCACAGCAATTCTGCACTAGGTTTCTGAAGGTGTAAATATTTACAGGAAACTCTTCGTCCCATCCTGAGCAACAGGCGGGCTTGAACCACTGACTTTTTGGGTTGCAGCCCAACACACAACATACTACGCCACTAAGGCTCCTTATAGGAAAACTAATAGGATAAAAATTGAGATATACACACATCCAGTGTTTAAAACTGAGACATACACATCCAGTGTTGCATATGTGACAAGCTGTATGCAAACCAATATAAAATTTTAAAAAGAGCATGACAGAGAGGGCTGCATGATGGATGTTAAGTTGAGAGAAGAGAAGCGAATGGAAAGATCTCTGGACTTCACTGACAGACAAGAACCCCAGTGCAGCGGGATCAAATAGCCATCAGGACATTTCCTGCTCTTACAGTGATCCCCCATCACTCATGAGATGAAGCTCCAGTTCCCCGGACTGGTATCCAGGACCCACCCCGATCTGATGCCAGCCCACTCAGTGTGACCCCTGTATACACAGAGGGGACCTCTGCTCTGTCACACCTGCTTCCTGTTAGTCCCCGGTCCAGAGAATGCCCAAGCAGCTGTGTCCCTCAGGACTTCTGTGACTAACCCCAGGACCACCGTGGGGTCCCGCCCTTCCACCTTCTAAACCAGCGCCATCCACTTCACCCACAAGGAGGCTGCTCTGGGCCACGGGGAGTGTAAGGAGACAGAGTGAATGAGGGCAGAAATCCCTAACCAGGAAGTGCTGATGGAGGACCAAGAGGAGCTCAGTATGGGTGTCCAGAGCCCCAGGGCACTGCGGTGGGTACAGGACAGACCACTGTCAGCTCCTCCACAGTCTGGATCTGAGCAGTCGGCCGAGGTGGGTACAGGACAAACCACTGCCCCTCACCTGGATCTGTGCAGTCAGCCCCCACAAGGCCCTTTACCTGGATCTGTGCAGTCAATTTCTGGATCTCCAGGACTAGCTGACCCTCCACGTCCAGCACTAAGCTGCCCTCGGAAGCCAGGCTGGACAGAGCTTGGACCTCCTGCAGGAGAGGCTTTGGACACAAACAGGAGTCAGGCCTGAGCCCCACGAGGTCCCACCCAAGCCCCACCCCCCCTTCCCACTCACTCACAGGCAAGTCCTTCTGGATCAAGAACAGGAAGGCGCCGGGGGCCCATGCTGCCAGGAACTGTTGAGCTCGTCCCAAAAACCAGAGCAGGGTGGTCTGAAGGGTACAGAGCCCCAGGGCAAGGGGTGCAGGGCCTGAGGAGGAGTGGGCGAAAGCCAGTCCTTGAGGGGCCAGGGAGGGGGGCTTCACGATGGAAGGAAAGAGAAAGGAGGTATCCTTAACCACCTTCATCCCAGCCCCGCCTGCCACCTCACCTGGGGGCCTGCAGAGGACCAGCCCCAGCCTGCGCTGCTGAAGGGTGTCCAGGAGAGAGGACAAGAGCTGGTGCAGCAGCTGTGCAGTGTGGGAGCCGACCCCACCGTCCCAGGACGACGGGTGGCTGCTCTGGTCCCTGTGAGCTGACCCCAAGACCTGGCAGAAGCCTAGGGATGAAGGGCACGGTCTGCTAGGGGGCGGACAGCCTGGAGTGGACGCCATCTCCAGTGTCACCTCCTACTCACCTTGGTCCCAGCTCCAGATGAGGGACTGATGAGAGAGGCTGCGGCACAAAGAAGCCAGTTCCATCTCACACTCCTGCGGCAGGGAAGCTAGTGGGGGAAACGAACCCGGAGCCTGAAAATGGGCCTCTTTCCCTCCAACTGTCCACCCGAGGACAAGGGTGCTGGGGGAGAGACAGGACAGCTAGCCGAAACTGTGCCTGGCAAACTGAGAAAACCCAATCCCCTAGCTATAGAATCGGTTCTGGCTCAGGGACCCCACAGGACAGAGTAGAACCGCCCCAGCGGGTTCCCGAGGCGGTAAATCTACGGAGACTACCTCCTCTTTAGGACAGAAGTCACTGGTGGGTTTGGACTGAGGGTGGCCTTTTGACCACTCTGCCACTAGTCTGAGATCCGGGGCACTAAACCCAAAGGACTCGCTTTTGTAGACAGGATGAGAGGGAAGGGAGCTGACCGGGGGTGAGGACGGACCCTAGCCGCTCCGAATGCCAGCCCAGGGCCATCGCTCACCCTGCTCCAGCACCTGGCTCAGCTGCGCCGCCGCCGCACTCGGGTCTCTCCAAGGTCCCAGCCTCAAGTCCAGACTCTGAGCACAGGCTGCCCACAGCAGGGTCCAGTACTGGCCCCACAGGGCCCCGGCCCCTCCAAGTCCCAGCCCACTGATGGGTGCGCCCGCCACACCCCCCAGCAGCCCCAACAGTCCCGGAAGCAGCTCCCGCTCCTCCTGGCATCGCCGGCGAAGCTGGTCCCGCAGGTCCGATCCCCGGAGGGCCACGTCCAGCTGCGCGGCCACCCGGGAGCCCCGCTCTCCCGCCAGGAGGCGGAGCACTCGGGCCGGGGGGAAGGGGCGCGCCGCCCCCGGGACCCGGGGCGCCTTGCCCTGCAGCTGGTGGTAGGAGGGCAGCGCCAGCAGTAGCTCGGACAGCTGGGCAGGTAGCGCCGGGCCGGCGGGCGCCCGGCCCAGCGCGCGGAGCTGCATCTCGACGGCGGCGTCCAGGCGCTGGGCGGCGAGTCCGAGCAGGC